TTGTTTTTCATAAAACCAGTTCGTAGTTTTATTTTATTGGTCCAAGGGTTTTTTTTTACTTTAAATATTATTAATCTCTTTTTTTTATTTTCAGGATTTTCAATTTTCTGTTTAATTGGAGATTTTAAATTTGTTCTTTTTCTGTTTTTAGTTGCATGTATATTCCACAATCTGCTCTTTCTCTCTTCTTTTTATTGATATCCACCTTTACAGATATAAATTGTCTTCTAAGTCCTGCTTTAGCTGCGTCCCACAAATTTTGGAATGCTGTCTCATTGTTGTCATTCTCTTTAATAAAATTATTGTTTCTATGATTTTTTCTTGGAACCACTGTTTTTAGAATTAGATTATTTAGTTTCCAATTAGCTTCTAATCTATGCTTACATGGCCCTTCATTAAATGTAATTTTTATTTTAAAATTATGCATTTTGGGCTGAAAAGGGTGCATTTAATATTTCTGTTTTTCTGTATTTTGTTGTGAGATTTTCATGCTCCAATATGTGGTCAATTTTTGTGAAAGTGCCATGTATAGTGGGGGAAAAAAAGACATACTCCTTTCTATTCTTATTTGGTTTTCTCCAGAGGTCTATCATATCTAGCTTTTTAAAGATTCTTTTCATCTCCTTGACTTCTTACCTATCTGTTTTATAGTTAGATTTGTCCAGCTCTGAGGGGAAAAAGTTGGGATAACCCATTAGTATAATTTTATTATTTCCTCCTGTAATTCATTTAATTTTTCCCTTAAGAATTTGGATGCTATGCTATATTGGGTGTATATATGCTTAGTATTGATATTAGTTCATTGTCCATGGTTCCTTTTAGTAAAATGTAGTTTCTCTGCTTATCCCTTTTAATTAGGTTTGTTTCTGCATTTGCTTTGACTGAGATCATGATTGCTACCCTTGCCTTTTTTTTTTGTCAGCTTAAACAAGATAGATTCTGCTCCAGCCCCTTATTTTATTTTTGTAAACAACATATTTTTGGATTCTGGTTTCTAATCCATTCTGCTATCTGCTTTCATTTTGTGGGTGAGCTCATTCCATTCACATGTTCATTTACAATTGCTAACTGAATTTCCCCTCATCCGATTTTCTTTTGTTTATCCTTCTCTCTCTTTTTTTATCCTGTCCCTCCTCTCAAGTCTGTATTGCTTCTGACTGCTGCCTCCATTAATGTGCCCTCCCTTTTATCACCCCCCTCCCTTTCTCTCATCCCCTCCCACTCCTACTTCCCTGTTGAGTAAGATAGATTTCTCTTACTAATTGAGTATGTATTTTCCCTTTTTGAACCAATTTGGATATGAGTGAGGTTCAAGCATTGTTCACTGCTCTTACCATTTCCCTCTCCACTGTAAAAGCTCTTCCTTGTATGTCTCTTTTATGTGAATAATTTTCACCATTCTTCTTCTCCGTTCTGCACCCCCTTCTCCCAGGGCAACCCTATTTCTCATCTATCCATTTTTTGTTTGATTTTTTTATTAATTTGTTTTCATTTATCACCAATCACTTCCATAAGCTTTTGAGTTATCTATCCATTTTTTAACATCATCCCAACATAATCAACTCACTCCTACACTCTTTTTCTATATAGAATCCTTCTAATTGTCTTAATAATGAAGTTCTTAGAAGATATCTGTGTCATTTTCCTATATAGAAAAGTCCACAATTTAACCTTATTGAGTCCCATATGATTTCTCTTTCATGTTTACCTTTTTATGCTTCTCTTGAGTCTTGTATTTGAAAGTCAAATTTTCTATTCAACTCTGGTCTTTTCATCAGGAATGCTTGAAAAGTTCTCTATTTCATTAAATATCAATTTTCCACCTTAAAGGATTATACTCAGTTGTGCTAGGTAGTTTAATCTTGGTTGTAATGCCAGCTCTTTTGTCTTCTGGAATATCATATTCAAAGCCCTCTACTCCTTCAATGTGGTAGCTGCTAAATCTTTTGTGTTCTTGACTGTATCTCTACAGCATTTAAATGGTTTCTTTCTTGTTCTCTGAAGTATGTTCTATTTGACCTGGAAACTCTGGAATTTGGTTATATTATTCCTGGGAGTTTTCATTTTGAGATCTCTTTCAGGGAATGATCAATGGATTCTTTCCATTTCTATTTTACCCTGTGTTTCTAGAATATTTGGAGAGTTTTCCTCGATAATTTCTTGAAATCCAATGTCTAGACTCTTTCTTTGACTATGGCTTTCAGGTAATCCAATAATTCTTAAATTATCTCTCCTTGAGGGGCAGCTAGGTGGCACAGTGGATAGAGCACTGGCCCTGAAATCAGGAAGACCTGAGTTCAAATCTGGCCTCAGACCAAACACTTGACACATACTAGCTGTGTGACCTTGGGCAAGTCACTTAACCCCAATTGCCTCACCAAAAAAAAAAAATTATCTCTCCTTGATATATTTGCTAGGTCAGTTGCTTTTCTGATGAGATATTTTACATTCTTTTTTTTCAGTCTTTTGGCTTTGTTTTGTTTCCTGATTACTCATGGAGTCTTTAGCTTCCACTTGCCAAATTCTAATTTTTAAGGAATTATTTTCTTCAGTGAGATTTTATATCTCTTTTTTTCTATTTGGCCAATTCTGTTGTTTTTTTTTTTGAGGTATTATTTTCTTCAGTATTTCATGCCTATTTTATCAAACTGGCAATTGCCTTATTGTAATTTTTTCCCTTGCTTACATTTATTTACTTAATTTCCCCCTACCACTCATATTTGATTTCAGAAATAATTTTTTGGCTCTTTTAGGAATTCTTGTTGGCCTTATGTTCAATTCACATTTTTACTTTAAGCCTTTGCTTGTAGCTGTTTTTGCTTCATTGTTTTATTCTAAGTTTGTGTCTTGATCTTCCTTGTTACAATAGTAGCTTTTATGGTAAAGTTCTTTTTGTTATTATTGTTTGCTCACTTTTCTGCTCAATTTCTTGATTTGGAACTTTATGTTAATGTTGGACTCTGTTCTGGGTGAGAGTTGGGGGGAAAGGCTCTGTTTCAGGCTTTAGGATTTTTCACACAACTGTTTTCAGAGCTAGTTCTGAGGATTTGGAAATTTTCAGTGTTTCCAAGGTGTGATCCTGGGAGAGGTGTCATTTCTGCTCTTTTGGCCTGTATTCTCCTCCCAACCCAAGAAGAGCCCCTGATCCCTTGGGATTGTGATTGATACTGCTCCTCAGGGCCCTAGAAACAATACCATTCCTCAGGTTCTCTGATCTTATGGGGCTGGAAGCCAAATTGCCTCTTGGGGTTTCTACACCATTTTATTTTTAATAAGAAGACATTTTATTACAAATATAATGTGCACTTCCTCAAAAAAATCCATTTAGAAAATGCCATTGATATGCAATCTTCTGAGATGTTTGCTATAACTATTAATAAAGATCATAAAATTGGAAGGAAATAGTGTCTAACATGCTATAGAGTCTTTTTTAATTTTATTTTTAATTTATGGAATAAAACAAGCATTTCCATAACATAGTAACTGCAAATCTACTACGCACAACTTACTATTCCTTTCAAATATACAACAAAATTATCATGTAAATTCCTTTTATTTCTTTTTTTTTCTTTCCTTCCCCCTCCCTGCTCTAGAGATGGCTACCATTAGACACAAATAGGTACGTATGTGTAAAATTATTCTACACATGCTTCTCTTTATCATTTCTTCCTCTGGATACAGATAGCATCTTTGTTCATATGTCCTTTATAGTTAATTTGGGTATCTATAACAGACAAAATAATGTATTCATTCAAAGTGATTCTTAAAACAATATTGCAGTTACTGTATACAATGTTGTCTTGGTTATGCTCATTTCACTCTTCATTATTTGATTCAAGTCTTTCCATGTTGTTCTAAAATCATTGAGCACAGTAGTATTTCATCACAGTCATATACCACAACTTGTTCAGCCATTACCCAATTAATGGGCATCCCTATCATTTCCAGTTCTTTGTCACCACAAAGAGAGCTGCTATAAACATTTTAGAATGCTTCTACTCCCTCTTGACCAAAAGTGCTTCTCACCACCCTTGAACTGTGACCCCAAAGTGGGAATAGGCAATGCAGTTGCTAAATAGTTGCCCTCAGGGCTTCTACTCCAGCACGACTGAACTTACTCCTCTCTGTGCTTGAACTATGACCCAGAAGTAGGTATAGGCAATGGGGTTGCCAAGCAGAGTTTGGTCCTATGTCTGGTGCTAGCACAGGGTTATTCTGTAATCTCTTTCTAAGCAGTTGCCAGGTCCCCTTACTATCTCTGACCTGCTAGCTCCCAAAGCTACTGTTGCTACTATCTCCACCACCTAATCCCATCGCTAGTGTTTCATCCACATGGACTCTGGGCTAACCTCCTCCCCCGTGTCACAGATTTCTCTTTCTAACCTCCTATGTTGTCTTGTCTGGTAGTGGCACAATGGATGGAGTGCTGGTTCCGGAGTCAGGATGACTCAACTTTCTGAGTTCAAATGTGGCCCCAAACACATATTAGCTACGTGACCCTGGGTAAATCACTTAACCCTGTTTGCCTCAGTTTTCTCACCTGTAAAATCAGCTAGAGAAGGAAATGGCAAACCACTCAGTGTCTCTGCCCAGAAAACCCCAAATGGGGTCAGGGAGAGTTGAGCATGACTGAAAAAAAATGACTGAACACAAGATATAATAAATGATAGAAAGATATAATAGATGGAGAGAGAGAGAGAGAGAGAGAGAGAGAGAGAGAGAGAGAGAGAGAATCTCATTCCCTAACATCATACCCCCTATTGGCAAAGCAGCAGTACTAAATCAAATCCCTATTCTTTGCCCCAACCTGTATCTAGTTTGGAAAGGTCCAAGCTCTCTGCCTTGGTCATGACTAATTTCTGGCTAGGGTTCTGTCCCAACAGGTGAACCCAAAGAGAGTGGAAGAGTGAGATAGAGTTTAATAGAGTTAGCAGGAGGGTGTTTGTAGAACAGACTACCCGGAAGCAAAGGGGTTCTGAGTTCTCTCTGTTTGTTCACAGAGCACTGTACAGGACATGGAGATCTGGAGAACAGTATGTCAGAGTTTCTGGGAGCACTCCGAGGAGATTGGACATCACCTCATGAAGGAGCAAGCATATGTCTTCAGTGATATGTCAGAGGAAGGGAGGTAATGTCAGCTGCTCTGCATCAGTGTTGAAAGCAAGCCTTTGCCCACATACCCAGGCACCACCCCATGCCTCAGTTTCCTGATCTATAAAATGATGGAGTTGAGCATAAAAATCAGAAATACATACATGGCAAAATCATGGAGCTTAGGCACTGAGAGGCAGTGTAATTGAGAGCTCATCTAGGAATCAGGAAGATCTGAATTCAAATCCTGCCTCTGGTACAGTACTGGTTATATCAGTGTCACCAGGCAACTCTACTGTGAGTTACATATCGGTTGGGAATTTGCAGCAGAGGAGAGAATTTTCACACTGAGACTTCCCTATGAAGGTAAAATCATAGGTCTGAACCACAAAATATGACCACATTCATATAAATGAAGGGAATGTTTTAAGTAATTTCAAAGGACTGAGCCGAGTTGGTTTGGGGAGAATGGAGATGGAGGACAAACTTCCTCACAGGAGATGCTATGTATGCTGCTGTTCTTTTATTCACCTGCAGGGAGGAGATGAGACACCTTCACAACCTACGCCAAGACTTGCATCAACAGGTGGTTGAGCTGGAATTCCACCTCAGTGACCGAGCTCGGCAGATTCAGGAAGGGATGATCCTGGTATGGGACATTAGCCACCATTTCCATGACACATTAAGACTTGTCTCTGGCTCTGAGCCTAGCTCTGCCAAGGCTGTGTGACCCTGGGCAAGCAACAACCTCCCATGTCACTTGGCCAGTGAGGTCACACTCAAATAGAAGTAGGGGGTCACTAACTGACTTAGAAAACCACATATTAACATTATCTATATTCTATTGTATCTTTATTTATTTTGTTAAATATTTCCCAAATATATTTAATCTGGTTCTGGCTGCATTTGACACCTCTGCTCTAGGCAATTCTCTAATATTCTCAGTTCCAGTGAAGGTGCCAACCTATAATGGTAGAGGGAATTTCCTCACCCTGGAGTTCTCTGTACAAATGAAATTACAAGTTGAATCCCTATCCTCTCCTCCTATGTTTCATGTCATAATATGAATTTGGCTACAAAATAGAGCTTGTGGTTTCCAGAGTTCAGTGAGTTGGCTTCACCTTGTTTTGTATGGTAACAATGAGCAGGCCTGTTTGCATGGAACTTGAAACAAATGAGAAAGAAGGAAGAGCATGAAACCAGTCCAGAAAGATAGGATGGAGAGGCTTTGGATGCCAACAGAAGAGTTTACACTATGGAGCCATTGAAGGTTCTTGAGCAAGGGAGTTAACACTGTGTGCTCTAGCTGTCATCTAGAAGCTGTCATCTAGCTGTCACCTTACCTCTTTTTCTGCTGTTTTCCCTCAAGCAGTTTGACCAGCTCTTAGAAGAACAATCCCAACTCTGTTCAGAACTGGGCCTCTCCAGCTGGGGAGAAGGAAGTGATTCAGATATTCATGAGACTGCGTCCCCCAGGGCTCCCACCCCCACCATCGAAGGTCAAGGGACTCCATTCCCAGAAAAGACCAGGGCACGTGCCTTCACTTCCCCCTCCTCCGCAGACAGCCCAGAGATGCCCCTCCCATCCCCAACATTAGCAGAGCCAGGCCTTGCCTCATCAGCAACCTCCTGGGATCGGCATGTGGGCAGTGAAGAAAAAAGAGGCTCCAGCCAGAGCCTAGTGGACCTCAAAGGCTTTTTGGGCAAAGTAAGGCTGCATTCCACTATCACTGAAGAAATGGCATTTCTATTGGCATCACTTCTCTTTGTCAGGCAGGGAGACAGTGTTTGCTAACTGTCTATGTCTCAGTTTCCTCATATGTATAAGGAGAGGGGTAGATATGGTGGGCTCTAGGTCCCTTTCAACTCAAAATAATCTATAGTTCCCTAATCCCATGATTCTATGATGTTTGTTGGGCAGGGTATTGTAAAAGATAGGCAGATGGCCTCAGAGCCAGGAAGATCTAGTTTCAAGTCCCACCTGGGACACATCCATCCTTGCTATGTGACCCTGGGCAAAGAGAAGTGAAAGAGAGGGTCTCAGTAGAAACTACTTGGTATGGAGTAATCAGGAAGTAAGAGACATTAAGTGGCATGCCCAGGATGTGGTTAGTGAGTGTCTGAGGCAGGATTTGAACTCAGGTCTTCCTCCAAGTCTGACACATTATCTACTTTACTCCCTTGGTGCCTATAATGTGCCAGGCATATAGGAAATAAACAGAAGGAAATGCTGCTTCTATAGAATATCTTTAGTTGTTATTTAGGGCCCCAAGTCGTGGCCATGTCGGTCTAAGAATAGATGCATATTTTTTCCTTTCCAAATATGACTTCTATAAAACCTTGTATGGTATTATTGCATCAAATAATTAGATTTGTTATTGTGTTACATTGTTCTTTATCCTTTTCCAGTGTATATCATTGTACTTTTTCCTTTCAAAACAATTTCTTATTTGGGATTACCAACATTCAGACCAATATGACACCTACTTGACCCTCCTGGCAATGAGACATCCATAGAAGAACCTTGTCCCCAAGGTTTCCCCCTAGAGTTAGTTGTGTGTATTCATTTGCTTGTGGAGCCCAGCCAGCAGGCTTTCCCAAATCCTTCATCCTCAGGACTTTCGTGTGAAGTTGTTGTTTTCTTTCCCAGCTGAAGAAGACTTTCAAGAGTTCCTTTGGCAATGAACCAGCCGACGGACAAAACTGATGGAATGACAGAGGAGAAAGACAATTCGTTCACTGTTGGACAAGCCTCCCCCTCCACATCAGTTCAGAGACTTCACGCTATTTATAAAGATGGTGGGAACCTGGTAACATTGCCATAGGGGAATTCTTTCCTCTTCTGCCCCCGGGATCTGCTTGAAAACAGGTTGCGTTAAAATACTGTCATCTAGTGGGGGGAGAGTGGGAATGATCATATTTTTCCAAGGCCAACTGACTCTTCACTTTCAGCCTATGCAGATAAAAATGACTAACAACAAATAGAACGGGATTCTCATAATACATGCAGGTCTTCTACCTCCTGGCTCCAGCTAAGTCATTAAGATTAAAGGACATGTATCTAGTGATTTAAAGTTTTCAAAGAGCTTAACAAACCTCTTTTTTAATCCTCACAATAATCTCACCAGGCATGAAGTGCAAGTGTGATTAGCTCCATTTTACAGATAAAGAAACTGAGAGCCAGAGAAGTTAAGTGATTAGCCACAATTAAGAATGATAAGAAGTGGGATCTGAAGCCAGTTCTCCCCTAAATCCAAGGCCAGTACTTTAGTCACAGCTCAACATTGCCCAGGTAGATAGGCCTCTAGCCAATCCTTATCGCCAGAGTAAGAGGGATCCCATAATTAATTAGATTTCCAAATTTGTCTTTGCAACAGAAGCTCAGGCAAGGAAAGGGCTGTGTCTCTAGTGGGTAGGATGGAATGTGGCTGGCAATCCAGCCAAGGAGATTGAAAAGGAGGAATTAAAACCAGGAGAGAGAAGGATCACAGAAGCTAAGGAAGGAGACAGTGTCCAAGAGGAAAGGGTGGCCAGCAGTATTAAAAGCTGTGCAGAGAACAAGACAGAAGAAGAGATTACTCATGACCTTAGACAGAGCAGTTTCAGTTGAGTGGTAGGGATCAAAGGCAAATTGTAAGGATTGAGAAGTGAATGGGAGATGAGAAAGAGAAAGCACTGACTTTGGAAAAAAATGGACCACTCTTTCCCTACTAGAGTTTTGACTATTAAAGGGAGACTAGATATAGGACAAGATTTTGAAGGGTTGGTAGGTTCAAAAAAAGGTTTTAAAGGATGTGGTCAGAGAGCTCAGAATATGCTTAATCAACAGGGAAGGAGACTATAGATAAAAAGAGGTTAAAATGAGGGACGCAGAGAAGGTGGTTTTAAATGAAAACTGGACATGACAGGAGAGGCTAGGAGGAAAGAGCTGGTAGAGGGGGTGGTGTTGGCAAGAAGACAAGAGCCACCTCTGTGATCCAGGCTGGAGCAAAACAAGAGAAGATGGTGAAGTAGGAGCTGGGGGTAGGAGAAGCTTGAAAACAGCCTCTGTTGTCTCAATATAATAGGAGCCAAAGGTGCTTTTCTGAGTGGGAAGGGGAAGGTTTGGGAATCGCTGCTGTAGAGAGCGATCATGGCATTCTCAATGTAGCACTTAGTCTGGCACTGCCTTGGAGGTGAGTAAACATCTGTGGAAAGAGTTTGGCTAAGTGGTAAAGAGAGATGGAGAGAAAGTCAAAGGAAGAGAGATTGCTGAATGATGGTGGCATGAACAGTAATGCTGTGGACATCACCTTTGATGGCTTCTGGGTGGGGCCTTAGAGCCCATCTAATCCAAACCCCTTCATTTTACAGATGAGGAAACTGAGGTCTAGAGAAGTAAAGCAACTTCCCCAAGGTCACACAGGTAAATAACATCAGATATAGGATTTGAATCCAAGCCCTTTGCTGGAGAGCCCACATTCTTTCCATTGTAACATGCTGTCTCCCCTAAAGATCTTTTTTTAAAAAGTTTTAATAAAAATCAGCATTTTTCTTTCAAAATTTGGGTGATAAAATATTTTTTAACAATGTTAAATTATCCACAAAGCACTTGTGGAGGCTGGGTAGGTACTGGGGGGTGACTTCAAATATGTGAAAGGCTGTCATATGAAGAGGCAACCACACGCATTCTGCTACAAGAGGAGAGACCTAGAAGATGACACAGAGAAGTCTCCAAGAGGCAGCTCTATGCTCAACATTGCCTTAAATTCTTTGCTTCATTTGTGCAAGAATGTCTGCTTATAGAAATGTACTTTTCCAAATGTATCTAAGCTATTTGAGGATCCTAGGGATTCCCTGCCTGTCACCAGCGGCTTCCTTGTTTAAAAACAACAAAACTTGTTTTGTTTTGTTTCTCCTTGATAGCACAGTTTTTGACAACAATCAACTGTGTATTCCTGAATACATAAGCTGTGTTCACATAGCACCTTGTGAATTAGAGGTGGATTCCTTTAAGTAAATTCTTGTGCACCTAGGCAGCCTAATAGAAATCTTTTTTTTTCTTGATGGTATTCTACAAGACGTAGTTTGGGCAAGTGGAGAGAGCTGGTGAGGGACACCTGCCTCTGATACATACAGGCCATATGACCCTGGACAAGTCATTTAGCCTCTTAATGTTGGGGTGCAACTCTTTAAAACTGAGTCGAAGAGAAAATACTGACTGGCATCAGTAAAAGGAATTTCTTCATATGGGAGTTCCCTATACTAATTCTTTCAACTAATCTTCATATAGCAATTCAGGGATGTGCTCACACCATCTCTCTAGAGCCTATTGTAAAATTTTCACTTTGACCATTTAGGCCTCCGAAATCAGCAAATGATACTGATTTTATTTTTTGTTCTGTTGATTATCGATATTAAAGAAAACAATGGAGAGAACATTAATAATGCAGGTGAAACTTACAAGTGCATCATGCATACCTTACTTTTTTTCCTCCTGGAGATCTGGTTGTTAAAATATTGAACAGCATGCCTTGTGTAGTATGGTCTCAGTAGTAGTCCAACTTCATTTTATTGATGCAGAAATTGAAGCCCAGAGAGGCAGTGTTACTTGTCCATGGTGAAAGATGAAAGAAAACATTGGATTCCGATCTAAGAGCATTGTAAGAAATTAACAAGGTCATCATATTGTACTTAAAGGTATGAATCAAAATAAGAGTATATTGATTTTAAATATTTCTGTACCAAACTATATTATAATTATTTTAATTATAGGCAAGGACATGGTTCAGTGAGTAGAGTGTTTTTAGGGTTGGAGTCAGGAAGAGCTGAGTTCCAATCCTGCCTCAGGTACTTAACCCTGTTCAGCCTTATTTTCCTCATTAGTCAAATGAAGATTATAATAGCACTTATATTACTGAGTTGTCAGGAGGATCAAAGGAGATAACATATGCAAAGCATTTTGCAAACCCATAAATGTTATAAAATGATAACTATTATTCACAGTAGTAGTACTGTGGTTGGAGTAGGAGTAACTGGTGGATGAAATACAGGACTTGGAGTCAAGAAGAGCCGAGTTCCAATCCAGCTTCAGAAAATTACTGCCTGTATAACTCTGGGCAAGTCACTTAACCTCTCTCTCAGTCTCAGTTTCCTCACCTGTAAAATTAGGATAACAATAATAATACCTACCTCATGAGGTTAGTGTGAGGATCAAATGAAATAATAAAGTACTTTATAAACCTTAAAGCACCATGTAAATATTATTATTATTATTATTAGCTATAATAATGTTTAGGCATGGGCACAGTCTTGGTTATCATTTTTCCAATTTTCATGTTGTTAAGAATGTAAACCACCTGGCAACTCTCCATATTAGAGGCGAGCAAGTGAGCAATTCCATCTGTATCATTTTCCAAACAGCACGATCTCTTCCCTAGATTTGTTTCATTTTACCTGGACCCCTCATCAAAATTCAAGGGCAAAGTCTTCAACTCAAATGGCCTCCTGGGAGGAAGGTTACTTAGAGAGTCAGGACACATGTCATTGGTGGCCTTTGTTCTGTCTGAGTGAAGACCCAGCCTGCACAAATGAGACAGAAAGCAAACTTGAAAGCTGTTCTCACCAGTATCTGTGGGCTATTATGAGTGTGTGTAAGGATGGTTGGAAGCTGGTGATTTGGACAGTGATCCCTAATATATGTATATTTTGGTACACTTGGATTTTTCTCAAATCTTCATGAAAAAAATAATGGTGTCAAAGAAATAAGCAGGAAAGCAAAGACAAGGTTTCCAATGATATCATAAAGTCCTTATCTGGTCCATTCCCCTTGATCTTCTCTTTGTTGAGAAAGGCATAGGACTGGGGCCTGGCCCTGTGATTTTATGGAGACAGGACACTCCCACAAGAGGAAATTCTCTCTCCCAGTGCCAGCCCTCACCTCAGAAAAGGACAGTCTTAGAGCCTGGATCCCTGAGAAGTGGTGAGAGCTGCCCAGGGTCAGTTGTCAGAGGCAGGACGAGAAGGCTAGTCTTCCCAGCTCTTACCATCTCCTGTTAAGAAAAGCTGTGGATTTGGACAGACCAGCACAAATCTCCTCCTTCAAATTCAAGCCACCTCTTCCGCAAAGTGTTCCCCAATGTTTCCAGTTGTGAGTGCAATGACTGTACTCCTTTTTCTATGTGTTCTGTGTTTCCCTCTCCCCCTCACCAGTAGAATGTAAGCTCCTCAAGGGCAGGTCCTGTTTCCTTTCTATTGTTATATTGTAAGCAATTGTAAACAGTACCTTGAACATAGCAGGTGCTTAATAAATGTCTATTGGATTTAACTGACTTGAATATAAGAGTTCTTTCTTTTTTTAATTTTAAATTTATTTATTTTTAGTTTTCAACATTAACTTCCACAAGATTTTGAGTTCCAAATTTTCACCCCATCTTGCCCCTCCCCCCACCCCAAGATGGCATGCATTCTGAATACCCCTTCCTCTAGTCTGCCTCCCCTTCTATCTCTCCCCCCCTTCTCTTATCCCCTTCCCCTTCTACTTTCCTGTAGGGCAGGATGGATTTCTGTGCCCCATTTCCTGTATTTCTTATTTCCCAGTTGCATGTGAAAACATTTCTTTAAACATGTGTTTTTAAAACTTTGGGTTCCAAATTTTCTCCCTTCCTCCCTCCCCACCCACCCTCATTGAAAAAGCAAGCAACTCAATATAGGTTGTATATGTGCAGTTACGCAAAACACTTCCATAGTAATCATGTTGTGAAAAACTAACTCTATTTCCCTTAATCCTATCCTGCCCCCCCATTTATTCTATTCTTTCTTTTGACCCTGCCCCTCCTCAGAAGGGTTTGATTCTGATTACCCCCTTTCCTATTCTGCCCTCCTTTCTATCATTGCCCTGCTCTCTTGTCCCCTTCTCCCCCTATTGTCCTATGGTGTAAGACAGATTTCCATACCCCCAATTGAGTGTGTATGTTATTCCCTCCTTAAGCCAAATCCTATGAGAATAAGATTCACTCATTCCCTCTCACATTCCCCTATTTCCCCTCTACTGTACGAGCCTTTTTCTTTTCTGTTTTTTTGTGAGATAAATTACCCCGTTCTACCTCTCCCTTTCTCCTTCTCCCAGTATAATCCTCTTTCACCCTTTGATTTTATTCTCCAGATATGACCCCTTCATCTTCAACTCACCCTGTGCCCTCTATCTATCTATCTATCTTATCTATCTATCTATATCTATATACATATACATATATATAAATATGTATATATATATATATTTCCCTCCAACTACCCTAATACTGACAAAGGTCTCATGAGTTATAAATATCATCTTTCTATGCAGGAATGTAAACAGTTCACCCTTAATAAGTCTCTTATGATTTCTCTTTCCTGTTTACCTCTTCATGTTCCACTTGGGTCTTGTATTTGAAAGTCAAATTTTCTATTCAGCTCTGGTCTTTTCATCAAGAATGCTTGAAAGTCCTCTATTTCACTGAATGACCATTTTTTCCCCTGAAGGATTATACTCAGTTTTGCTGGGTAGATGATTCTTGGTTGTAATGCTATCTCCTTTGCCCTCTGGAATATTATATTCCATGCCCTCCGGTCCCTTAATGTAGAAGTTGCTAAATCTTGTGTTATCCTGATTGTGTTTCCACAATACTTGAATTGTTTCTTTCTGGCTGCTTGCAATATTTTCTCCTTGACCTGGGAACTCTGGAATTTGGCTACAACATTCCTAGGAGTTTTCCTTTGGGGATCTCTATCAGGAGGAGATCAGTAGATTCTTTCAATTTCTATTTTGCCCTCTGGTTCTAAAATATCAGGGCAGTTTTCCTTGATAATTTCTTAGAAGATGATGTGTAGGTTCTTTTTTTGATCATGGCTTTCAGATAGTCCAATAATTTTTAAATAATCTCTCCTGGATCTGCTTTCCAGGTCAGTTGTTTTTTCAATGAGATATTTCACATTGTTTTCTAATTTTTCATTCTTTTGGATTTGTTTTACAGTGTCTTGATTTCTCATAAAGTCACTAGCTTCCAACTGCTCTATTCTAATTTTTAAGGAAGTATTTTCTTCAGTAAGCTTTCGGACTTCCTTTTCTATTTGGCCAATTTTGCTTTTTAAGGCGTTCTTCTATTCATTGGCTTTTTGGACCTCTTTTGCCATTTGGGTTAGGCTATTTTTTAAGGTATTATTTTCTTCAGTATTTTTTGGGTCTTCTTTAGCAAGCTGTTGACTTGTTTTTCATGATTTTCTTGCATCACTCTCATTTCTCTTCCCAGTTTTTCCTCTACTTCTCTTCCTTGATTCTCAAAGTCCTTTTTTGAGCTCTTCCAAGGCCTGGGACTGATTTCATATTTTTCTTGGAAGCTTTGGATGTAGGAGCTTTGACTTTGTTGTCT